TAACACGGCCCCCAATGCGTATTCACTAGTATCAGTTGTCTGGAAATGCCTGTACCGGTTCTTCTTGTAGTCGTGCCATACACTTCTGAATGTTATCTTCCATCACTGGTGTTACTATTACCTTTGTTCCTTTTTTCAATAAGTTGTTGAGTGGCACAAGGTATTCGGCCATTTCAGGCACGAATCTTCTATCATAATTGAGCGTTCCCAATAGTCTTCTGATCCCTTTTATGTCTCGAGGTATCGCCATTCTCCTAATCGCTTCCACCTTCTGTGTATCTGGTTTGACTCCTTCTCTTGAAATAGTATGACCTAAAAATTTTATCTCGTCTTGGCCTAACAGAGACTTCTCGCTAGACAATTTTAGTCCAAAATGTCTCACTCTTTCAAACACACTCCTTAGATGTTCCACATGTTCTGTCTCGGTTTGGTAAATACTAATAAATCGTCCATGTAAATTTGGCACACCGCTTCATCGATTCCCCTTAGAAATTCGTCCATCAGCTGCTGGAATGTCATTGGGGCATTTTTGAGTCCAAATGGCATCCTAGTAAATTCATAGTGGCCCCTCTCAAATGTAACGCTGTTTTTAATTGGTCTTCAGGTGCATTCTGATTTGGTGATATCCTGTCTTTAAGTCTAGCGTGCTAAATATCATTGCTCCGCTCAATCTATCTAAGATGTCTTCAAACCTCGGGATCGGATACTTCTCATCTACCGTATTTTCGTTAAGCTTACGGTAATCTATCACTACCCTATATTTTTCCTTGTTCTCTCCCGGCGCATTCTTCTTCTTTACTGCCGGACTATTAGCGGACTATTGTAAGGTGACGTGCTGTCCACAATTATCCCTTGTTTCTTTAAACTCACCAATTCTTCTCTAATATGTTGACGAAGAGCCTGAGGATATCTTCTCTCTTTCACGTAGCTCACCTTTTCTTGCTTTAGCGGGATCTCGTGTACTGTTCTCCCCGTCGTCCCTAATATATCCCCCTCTTTGAAGAATATATCCTCAAACTCTCTCTTGACGGCTATTCTCCAATCTTCGGTTCGACTTATGGCTCCTATACGCGCCCTGCCGTCTTCTAAAAACGTTCTGCAACGTCCTATCCTTATACTCCATTTTCCGCCTCTATTTTTGATTCGCGCGCCCACCTTCCCCAGGATGTCGCAACCTATAATCGCCTGATATTCTCTGGGCATATTCCTGACAATGCACTCCTAAAGTACCTCCCCTAGCTGCCCACCTAGTCAAGCCTATCTCAACTTCTCCTTCTACTCTACACAAGCCACCTAGAGTAATTAGTTAACAATTGCATGCCTGTATCTGGAGTGTCCTCTCTCTGCCACACAGCTTCTCCAGCGCTTCCCGGGTCATGATGGTATTGGAACTCCCAGTGTCAACCAGGCACCTCACTCTCCCTCTCGCCTCTATTATAGGCAACCAGCAGCGTTTACCCTTGATGCTATTACTGACTAGCGTGCGGTCGCCCCTCTGCCGATACTCACCTCAAATTCTCTCTTCTGCTATCAACCATCTACTTCTTCCAGCTCTGTTACCCTCGCCTTCTCGTCCATCGGGTAGGGCCAACTCCTCAGTCTCCGAGGTTATAGATTCCTTTGACGATTCCCTCGACGAACCGCTCTCCCTTGATGAAATATTCCTCCTCCGAACTTTCTAGCCTTTTATCTCCATTGGTTCCGCTTGCGATGCTTCTCTTCTTGAGTACATGTAAGGGCATTGCCTTGCAATGTGGCCCGCCGTCCCTCACTCGAAGCACCTGATCCGGTTTTCCCGCATCCGTGATATTTTCTGTCCTCTCTTCTCATACTGTTCTTCGCTCTGATTTGCCCTGGTCTTCGTTCTAACCCCGTTCTTTCCCTACCGCTTACCACATGCTCCTTCTTCTTCCAAGTTGTCTGTGGCGTGTTTCTGGGACGTTTATAGGTTACCCTACTCCACCCAGTTTCCTCTATTTCCATCTGGGTTTCCTCTTCTCTCTCGCTGGAATCGACCATCTCCTGTGCACATTACACGAATGAATGTTCTCTTGGTAGACTTTCTCTTCCTCCGGTTTCCCTTGCGAGTTGTACCTTCAGGATAGTAGATAAGAAGGCCATCTTTGCCTCTACTTCGACCACACTCACAGTTTCTCTCATCTTTTCAGTTATCTGGTTGTACCGGGCTAGAAGTGTTCCAGCATATTGTCCGTTTGTTTGTTGTTGTGATTTTATCTCACGAAACATCTGGAAGATATCTTCTTCCGTATTCCATCTACTGCCTCCATACGCTTTTTTCAGTCTTTCCTTAATCAGCACCCACGGTGTTTCTTCGTCCGCTTGGATGTAATTGAGTATATTTCTTTTTACTCTACATACTAGGGACGCTTTAAGTGCCTCTGCATCTCCAGCATTGATCAAGTTTTCTGTCATTTTAGCGTCTATTCTAGCAATAATCTGATCACCACCTTTAAGAAAATGGTTCAACTCACCCATTTCTCCTGCGAAGCTCTCGAGGTCTGGTATCACCTTCCTCAGGTCCTGGGAAGTCGCCACCCTAATCTTCATCCACTCCAGCGCGTTTGAATGTGCTGCTGCCAAAGTTTCTTGGGGTAATGAAGGGATGTCCGGTACGTTCAGGACTGGTGGTCTCAACACTCCGTCATGCATCTTCTACAATTTTTTCACATGGCCAAAAAAAAAAACGGACCAGCGCCCACTCGTCGTCCCGGGTTTCGGCACCAGTTAAATTTCAGCAGGCTAAATTATTATAAATTGTCAGTTGAATAAGTGTTCATTGAATCCAAGAAACAACTTTTCTTTATTCAAACACAACAAAAATAATAATGAATAATAATATTAAATCTAACATGTGGTGTCATTATTGTCTATTAGATTAACTATGAAATGGTATTATGATTAATACCATTGCATTTATACATTTATGTGTGTATATATATATATATAATGTGTGTGTACGCTTTTCTTTTCTTTTAGCCTCTCTTTCTTCTGTATTTTTAGTTTTAATTACCTATTATTGTAAATATTTAATTTATTTGTGACCACATAGACATGCATTCTTTACTTACGATTTGTTCTAAAGAGGCAACAGTCCCAGAATAATAAATATTTTCATTTACTATTATTCTGCATCTAAAAAAAACATATATACATCTTTGTTTTCGATTTTAGTGTAAAATAAAAAAACACACTGAAGAGATTGTAATGGGATTAGGTCACTGAAAAGTTCAAAATACCTGTAGTAATTTTAAGCAATGGTGATTAAAAAAATATTTTTAGTATGAAAGAAGTCGATATTTATTTTAAACATTCCAAAAAATGTGTATATCTTTACTTTTCTATTTTTGTGCTTGGAAAATCTAAATATATGATTGGCAAAAATAGGTGTTATTGAGTGGAATTACTTTAATACTAGCTATACAATGATTTTTTTCATCTGTTTAGTGGTTTTTAATGTATATATTATCATTTCACCCTGTTTGAGAAACGTATATTGACAAAATGCCATTATCATGGTTCAAATATTGGTTTGGCAAATAAGTCCTTTCGGTTTATTTTTATGTCACTATGATACACTTCTTATCTGATGAATCTGTAAGTAATTCAACAACTATGTCTGTTAACTCTTGTTAAAACTAGCTTAGTATTCTGTTTGCTATTGCACTGTGAATATGGAAAAAAATATTATTTATTATCGGCCTATTTTGTTTTATTATTTTAAAAAAGGTAAGCGTGCAGCAGAAGCTCATAGAAAAATTTGCAGTGTTTATGGGGATGATGCCTTAACCGAACATACCTGTCAAAATTAGTATGCCAAATTTCATTCAGCAAATTTTGACTTTAATGATGCTCAACGGTCTGGTCACCCTCATGAAATTGAAACGAGCAACGTTAAGGCCATTGTTGATCAAAATCCTACTCAATCAGTGCGAGAGATTGCTATGGCCCTAAATATGTCGCACACAAGTGCTGAAAACCATTTACACAAGCTCGGCTATGTTTCCAGGCTTAATGTTTGGGATCCGTCACTCTCTAATTGAAGTCAACTTGGCAACACGCATTTCTGTTTGTGGTTCACTACGGAAACGGTAACTAAACAACCCATTTTTGAAAAGGTTGGTAACAGGAGAAGAAAAATGGCTATTTTTCGATAATGTAGTCCATAGAAAATCTTGGGGACGTAGTAGTGAGACTCCTGGAAGAATGTCAAAATCTGGATTGCATCCAAAGAAGATAATGCTTTCCATATAGTGGAATTTCAGGGGTGTTATTTTCTATGAGCTATTGCCATCAGAACAAACAATTGATTCAACTCTATACTGCTCACAATTAAAATTGGATCAATCAATTAAAAATAAATTCTCAGAACTGGCAAATCAGAAGGGTATTGTGTTCCACTAAGACTACACTAGGCCCCACACATCATTGGTCATTCGCAATAAATTATTGAGCCTTGGGTGGGACTTTTTGCACCACCCTCCCTATTCACCAGACCTAGCTCCAAGTGATTACCACTTATTCCGGTCTTTACAGAACTCCATGAATAGAAAGAAATTCCAAAAGAGGACATCAAAAACCACTTGGATCAGTTTTTTAACAATAAAATCCAGACATTCTATGAACTTGGCATTATGCAGTTAGTGGAAAGATGGGAAAAAGTCATACTAAATAATGGTCAATATATTGTAGATTAAAATAAATTGTATGTCTATAATACATTGAGTTTTATTTCACCCTGAAAAACCGAAAGGACTTATTTGCCGAATAAACCCAATTTGTTTGAACTATATTACTTTAAAGTAACTGGATATGTAAGAAGTCAAACTTTGTAGATTTGGAAACTGTGATAACATTTACAAAAACCAAAAAGTAAAAATATTGACAGGGCATTATTAAAGACAAGAATTGCTATGAAATTGGAAAAAAAAAAATCAAGTTAAATCAACACAGTCAGTTAAATTTTTCTTATTTTTTTTTAGTTCTACCAGTTAGCCCTTGATAAAGCTCTTTTAGAACTATCTCGTGAAGATCCTAGTTTAAGGGTGACTTTGAATAATGAAACTGGACAAACAATTTTGGGAGGTAACTAGTCTTTTGATGTATTTACATATACATTATTTTGTACTACATGTGATAAATAAGTTGAAAAATGTTTTTGTTAGTATAATTTTTTTTGTTAAGTAATTGTATGTAAAAACAATATAAAATTTTAAAAATGAGTTTTTAAGCTTGAGAATCCTTTTATACACTACAGATCACAATACAATATATTCTTATTTAGCAAGTTCCTAAAATAAAATAAGACTAGAAGTCTTATGAGGTAAATCTGATTTTGAACAGCTTACAATATCTGTTATATGTTCATGTGTACCATTTTCACATGATTTGAAAAAAATAATTGATAAATAAAAATTAAGATACCTGGGATATTCAAAGAATGGTGCATGAGATCTAATGGTGTACATCTTGGGTAATTTGCAACTAGTCTTAAGCATTTATTTTATTGCACTTGCAATTTTCTTTAGCATACAATAAGTCTGACATATAAGTGATAAAATAATTTTCAAGTTAATTTATTATTAGCCATATTTACACCAATTTAAAAAAACTTTTTGTCACTTAATGACTGCTCATCAAAATGACGACGTTTCGGCTCGTCGAGCCATTTTCAAGTCTAAAAAATTTTTTCATTTACAATCATATATTAACTTTAACGAAGAGAAGAATAGTTGGGGTGTTCAGTCAAAAAAGGAAGGCAAAAAATAAATTTTAATATTTATTTTTTACATATGCCGACGTTTCGACCTGAAGTTCAGGCCTTCATCAGGGCTTTCTCCTTAAGTGTCAAGGGGAGAATGAAATGAGAATTATTATTAACTTTGTTGTTGCAATTCTTACAATTTATTTTATAAATAATATTCGTTAATTTATCGATAGGTACTTTATCTTTAGTTTTTGAATAAATTGTATCTAATTTATTAATTGGTTTGCTTGCAAATTTAATTTCATTTACATCGTATTGTTTAAATGTTCTTTCAATTTTATCAGTTAAGTTTCTAATATATGAGACGCTAAAATATTTTTTAGGTTGTTGTTTGTTCCCATTACATTTTTCAATTTGTGTCTTAATGTCATGTATATCGTTCATGGAAGGTTTTTGTTTTACTGCATTTTCAGTTTTAAAATAATTTGTTATTAAATTCGGTTCTTTATTAATTTTAATATTTTGCTTCACTTTCTCACTCCTATCATCGCTAATATCAATAATCTGTTTGTTACTATTGTCATTTATAATTAACTTTTTATTTTTATACCATAATTTATTTATTAATCGAATGGGGTACCAATTTTCTAATAGAATTTGATATATTTGTGCTTTGATTTCTTTTATATGATTTTGATCTGTTATTAATTTTGCCTTATTTATTAAATTTTTAGCTGTGTTAATTATTATATGTTTCTTGTGGTTACTGTGCCAATTTAGGATTCTATCACTAGTTATTGTTTTTTTGCACCATGCCGTGCTAAGATCGCCGCTTTCGTTTCTGTGAATATACGTGTCAAGATATCTTATTTTGTTGTTATTCTCAATTTCCATTTAAAATTAATAAAGAACCGAATTTAATAACAAATTATTTTAAAACTGAAAATGCAGTAAAACAAAAACCTTCCATGAACGATATACATGACATTAAGACACAAATTGAAAAATGTAATGGGAACAAACAACAACCTAAAAAATATTTTAGCGTCTCATATATTAGAAACTTAACTGATAAAATTGAAAGAACATTTAAACAATACGATGTGAATGAAATTAAATTTGCAAGCAAACCAATTAATAAATTAGATACAATTTATTCAAAAACTAAAGATAAAGTACCTATCGATAAATTAACAAATATTATTTATAAAATAAATTGTAAGAATTGCAACAACAAAGCATATTTTGGACAGACATCCCAATGGTTTGAAAAAAGGCTTAAACAGCATAAACAAAATTGTAATTCAAAAAACACAAAAATTAAATTAGCTACTGGACTCTCGCAACATAATATGCAAACTAAACATGAGTTTGATTTCAAAAATGCCAAAATCCTACATAATGAAAGAAATACGAATAAACGTAGAATTAAAGAATCAATATACATAACTAAAAACTTAAAAAACTCAGTAAATAATCATACAGACGTGGATAATATGAATACTTTTTACGCTAGTTCTATTGAAAAAATCAAAATTTGAAATAAATCAGCTAATATTACTTAAAATAGATCCACATATAATATTGAGTAACAGCATTATATATGTTCATAATAAATAGTCTTCCCCTACTCTTATAAGAATAACCAGTCACTGAATAGAAATGAGATGGATGACATGTGGGTGACTCAGAAACAAGGTAAATTTAACTTATTTTGAATCATTTAATAGTAAAGAATTGATTAATAATAATGTTGTTAAATAATTAAAGGTGAACATGACAATAATAAGGAATTTTATTATGAGTAGACGCTTGCAATTCGCATAAGTGAAAATGACAGGTACATGATGGGTATTTTAGGTACATAATAAGTATCTTTATAATTTGAAATATGTTAAAGTTAATATATGATTGTAAAGGAAAACATTTTTTAGACTTGAAAATGGCTCGACGAGCCGAAACGTCGTCATTTTGATGAGTAGTCATTAAGTGACAAAAATTTTTTTTAAATTGGTGTAAATATGGCTAATAATAAATTAACTTGAAAATAAATAGTATGCACCGAAGAAGAATTGAGTAATATGAGTGATTAAATAACTTTTTGTTTATAACATTGAGCCTGCAATGTTTGTTTAACAGTGGGAATAATTTTTGCATGATCCCTATAGCTTTAATTATTGGAAAATTTATATGGTCAGTAAATGTTAATCTAGTATCTGGTAATCCCAATTAAGTTACATTTTTAGACCATGATAAAGAATTTCCATTGATTGTTACAAAACTATCTGTTAAAGGGCTGCTCTTAGTAAAAAAATATGGCTTCTGTTTTAATCTGAGTTTCCATTAATTTATTTATTTGTGATTGCTTAGGCAACTTTTACAATTATGGCAAAATAACTCTCATGAGTTTCAATAAGGCAACATTCTAAATTTGATGGTAATATTCTAGTTTTTAAGCAGTGGACTGTATTTTAAGGGATTGGTAGTTTAATGATTGTGCAAAAAATTAGCTTACCGTAGTTAAAATATTGCGTAAATAAGTTTAAAATTAAGGTATAGTCTTCAATTTAATTTTAGTATTCATATGATACTGTAATTTATGTTGTATGTGTCAATATCTGATGTGAATAGATCTTTAAGAAAAGAATCTGTAAGAAAATGATAAAAGTTAAAAATAGTGAAGATGTAACTCAGAGGGAATCGAAAAAAAAAATTTGTTTGTATTAAATAAGTAATATGCAGTTGTTTTAGTATTCACTTAAATTTAACGTAAACAGAAAAAAAAAAAAATTATTTTACTTAAAATATTTTTCTTTACCCGGAAGTGGGGAGAAATGTAATATACACCTTTATTGGAAGTGGGTAAAAATGATTTAATAAATTAATGTTAAACAATTAAAAGGCAAGCTAATCTAGTTCTACTAGTGCAGGGAAAAGAAAATGGCAGCTCTGTAGTTTCCCAAGATGGAAAATCCCAAAGAGGAGAGAGACAAAGGTTTCTGTTTTGGCAAGCTGTTGGTGTTTGGCTGGGGTGAAGAGAGGATGGGAGAAGTGATCCTGGCTCCAGTAGGAAAAACCCAGTAATAGTGTTACCAATTTGGAAGAGTTGTTTTGGCAAAACTTTGGAAAGTGTTTGAAGACAAATAAGTTCAGTGGCACAAAGGAAGAAACATATAATATAGAAAAAGGTTAGCTTGCCAACCCATAATTGACTTTATTTTAAAATTAGTGTTTAATTTTAGTGTAAATAATAATAGTTTGTCTGAGTTGATCTGATTGTCAGTAACCCACACCTGAGATAAATAAATATATTAATTCTCTTATAATTTTGTTCATTATTAATCAACCTCTTATTTATTTAGGAAGTACTCCAATGGTAAGAAGTGAGCTTCCGAGGTTATATTATTATTATTATTTTAAAATATAAGAGGGATGCTACAATATCAATAAAAAGTTTCTCCAGAAGGGAGAGGCACTAACTTGTGCACCGGTCGCATCAAAATGGCTGTAGCACTCTTCAAATTTACAATCCTAACTACACTGTCGGGCCCTGGAAGTGTCTCTATTATCCTGGCAAGCCGCCACTCCTGCAGTGGAACATCTTTTTCATGCAGAATTACAAGGGTTCCCTCCTTTAAATTTTCCCTATCAGTATACCACTTGTTACGTGGCATCAGATTATGAAGGTATTCATTATACCACCTCTTCCAAAAATTACGAAGAGTCGTACAAGAAGAGTATAAAATTCCTCATAGGTTAACGCATGATCCTGGAGAATGGCAAGGTGTCTCTTCGCAGATTTAATAGCTGTCTCCCAAATACCGCCAAAATGAGGAGATGCTGGAGGAATAAAAGTCTACTTTATACCCGTCTTACCCAAATAGTCAAAAATGGGTTCGCTCTGGCCCTTAACAAATTGATAAAGCTCCTTCAACTTCTTGGATGCTCTAACGAAATTTGTTCCGCAGTCACTATAAATATGAGAAGGCAAACCGCATCTGGCAATGAATCTATCTAATGTGGCAATAAATGAAGGAGTGGATAGGTCCATCTCAAGTTCTAGATATATGGCCTTGGTGGACATGCACACAAAGAGAGCTAACCATCATTTCGACTTAGGAACATTGCGCTTACTGGAAATCTTCATAATGAAGGGGCCGCCATAGTCTATTCAGTAAAGTTAGCTGTAATACACCAAGTGTTGTTTTCTGACATACTATTAGAAAAATAATGGGTTTAGGTTATTCTCCTAAAATAAAGTGCTTAAAAGCTCGCGATCAATATCAAAATGACCCTGTAAGTCTAGCCTACAATTTAGCTAAACACTTTTATACTATCTCCTCGTCCTTAAATTACTCAACATACTTTCTCAATAGAA